CTGTTAGCATGTTAGTAATTCTACTGGACTCAATGGCATCTACTGGAATTTGGAAAATGTCAGTAAAGAACATGATGAGTCATCTAACTAACAGCAATTATTACTGTTACTTTGTATCCATATTTGAGGATTTACAGTTGCAATTGTTTTGAAGCATTATTTAAATAAGTCCTAAGAGCAACTGGTGGAAAGTCACCTTAATTCCAGTCACTCTGCAGTAACTGGATCGAATGGGATATGGATCTTGTAAATGGCGCTAATTGACCTTCTCGGATGGGAGGTGAAACATCTTTGAGAAACTTTAAAAAGTCCAGATGCTTTTCTTTACAAGCTCCTTAGACTACGATAATGTATGACTGAGAACCTTTACAGACAATACGGCTGGGTATGATTTCTACAACTCCTTTAAATTCTGATTCAGTTTGATTTTGACTATTATAATTATGATCATTTAGCATGGATATATATACTGTAGAGGAACCCTGTAAAATAAATATATTCATTTCCAAATAAAGAACAGATCTTTACACAGTTACTAATGGTACTTTTTAAAATTTATTTCTGAGATTTGTGGTATTTCCACAGTATATTTCCTCCATTTTGCACATGGACATCTAGTTTTATTTGTGGTCTCACCGTCAGTGGAGTCTCAGTCCCAGCTCACTTAACTCTCACTTCCAAGTTTCATACATGGCAAAAAACAAATATATTTTAAAATCTTCTGAAATTTCCTTTCCTATTAATTTGTGTGAATGTGTGAGTAAGGTATGTTGTATAAGGTGCTTTGAGTGCTCAGAGTAGAAAAGTGCTCTATATGAACCAGTCAATTTTACTTGTATTCACTAACTTAACAACAGGAGGGTCATCTAACTAAAACCAATCAGTGTATCCCACCTGACTCCCTCAGAATCAGCTAACTTTTAATAGTCTCCAAGTTTTATTTAAATGTCCTATGTATGTATAAGTATGGTGAGAGTCTGTTTGCAGCCAGGGTAGCAGTGCTTCTTGCTGTTCCTCTACATCAAAGACATTTATTGTAGCCCATTAAGCTGAGTGTTATAATGTAAACAGTAAAATATAATTGGATGTTGTCAGAGATGCTCTTTATTTCAGGTGGCATTCAGGATTAAAATGTTGAAGGACTGACTTACACTGTCTTTGTGTCTTTGTTTAGAAGCAGAGCGACACAGATGGATCCAGTTCTCAACCCTGTCATCGCTGTGGTGGTGGGAAAGCGTTTCGTTGTGACCTTTGTGGAAAAACTTTCAATCAGCAACGAAGCCTAAAAATGCATCAGCTTAGACACACAAGAGACAAAATGATCTACTGTAAAGAATGTGGAAGAGGCTTCCCCACTCAATCTGATTTTAAACAACATGAACTCTTCCACGGTGGGGTTTAAAAGCACGCCTGTAACCAGTGCTTACCAGCTTAAAAGACATAAACGAGTCCACACAGGAGAGAAACCATACAAGTGTAGACACTGTAACAAAAGGTTCTCACAATCGAGCAGTCGTAACCTTCATGAACGTACACATGTTGAAGGGAACTTCAGCTGTGACCAGTGTGACTTCAAGAATCTCAGTTCATACTCCAAACACAAACGATCCCATTCTCATTATACATTATCTGCTCTGTGCAAACAGAGTAAGTGTGATCATGAAATCATTCTGATTACTGAATCACAATGACTCTGCAGAGACAGAAAGTTCCTCTTCTGGTTTCAGGTTTAGACTTAAAAACCTTGAGATCAGGCTCCACAGAGTTCAGATGGAATCTCCTGTAAAAAGTGTCAGCTGATGACACACTTGGATCTCATAAGGTAGCTCTGATGTCTGGACCTGCAGTAAATAATCCTGAATCTTAAATTTAATAAGATGCAAGTATAGATGTGTACATCAAGTTTTTGTGTTTTAATTTTAATGGATTTTATTGCTCTGAAATGTTATTTCTGTTACATTTACATAATTCCCCCTCAGAAAACAGTAGTGTTTAGTTGTAATACTTGTATTATAAAGTTATAGAAATATCTTTTAAAGCCAGCTGATAAGTGTCAGTCTTGGTAGCCGGGGATCAGTCTGCCAGGGCTTCCGCTCCTGGCCACCGCCTGACTCACATTGCACCCGACCCCTACGGTGCCTTCTGCGGGTGGTGGGCCTGCAGGAAGATGGGCCCCTGTCCCTATTTTGGGCTGTGTCCCCATGGACTAAGGCCCGGCCAGCACACGCTCGCCCCGGGCCTGACTCCAAGGCGTGTCCCCGGTAACCGTATCCCAGGCAGGGTGAACTGTTCCCTCGATGGTCTTTTCATGGGGTCTTCTGAATCGCTCCTTGTCCAACTGATACCAAACCGATGGTGTCACAGGTTTGGAGTTTTGACTGCCGTCACCTCTTAATTTAACTGTGATTAATATGTTATGAGGATTAACTTTAATCTCAGCCAAACCGATTTACTCAAATAAAACTCTGAAATAGACCAAACATTAAGATTTGGAAGTTATCTAAGAGACTTGTATATCATGTTTAACCTGAGTAGCAAAAGGCCAAGGGGGGGATTGAAAACGATGTGTGGGAGTCTGTTCTCGCCGGGCTCTAGTGATCCTTGACCTTGCAGTCTGCTATCAAGCTGGTGGGTAATAGGCATCTCCGGAAACGTCGAAGCACTTTTGGATATATGGGATATCTTGATAAATCAAGCAGATATTTGAAGTTTACACAACTACATTCTATCCTGAAAATAACTTAAAAGTTTATTTTGTGACCCAGAAAGAGTAATATTTAAAAAACTTTAGCCACGCTCCTCCGCCGTTGCCGTGTTTAAATTTTAGACGAAATGCATTCTGGGATATTTAGCTGTACCAAGTCCACACAAGTCACCACCAATGCATGCTCGATAAAACGGGCGGAGCGAGAACACATCTGGGAATTTTTTGCGTTCTCTGCTTGATGCGCATGTCACTGTCACTACCTGATCCGCACCGGAAACCCGATCGGTACCACGCATGTGCGAAAGGCCACTGCTTCCGCTCATTTTACTTTAGTTACGGGTCAGAGTATCTGTTAAGATGTCAACAATAATAAGTATCTCTTAAAATGTTATAATGAAACATTTCAATTTAACGTAGAGAAAAATGAAAAATAAAAAGATAGCCACAGATCAGGACTCCCCGATCCTTCCTGCACATGTATGTGCAAAGTCAGACCTTACAAATCGGGTCTACCCGATTCGTACCGCGCATGTGCAGATGTTTTCTTCTTCTTCTGTTTCTTTTAATGGCAGTTTACTCCCCAGTGTACGAGGATACTGCCACCTGCTGACCGAGCGAATGAACCCTATTGTAAACTGAACTAGGCGTGTTAAATTTGATTTAGCAGTAGTCGAGTGTGCTTATGCTCGTCTGTGTGAAGAGGATTGTTGGAATAGTGATGATGATGTCCGCTATCACCATCAATTGTCAGTAAACACTTAATCTGGGTGATGAATCTTCATGTGACATATTACTAGATCTGTATTATTAAGTCTGTAATTAGGCGCCATTCTTCTTATTTTACAGCGTTGTTGTTCAATTGGGAGACACTCTCTGTTGAGGAGAAAAGCATGAATTTGTTTGTATATGGATTATCTGTTGTTTAAATGTCCCGGGCAGTCGAAAAGGAGGCATGGCTGTTGAGAAATGCTAGGAGCTAACTGGACGCTAACCGTGTCACTCAAATAATTAACTGTCGCAATGTTGGCAAAGAGAAGAAATGACGTAAGATTTGCGCATGCGTGGTATGGATCGGGTAGCGACAGCATACTTTGAATTGGAACAGTACTTGGTCTCCAACTGATGACGTATCATGAGTAGGGATGGGTATCGTTTAGGTTTTATCTGATACCAGTACGAAACCGGTAGTTTTGAAACGGTGCTTAAACGGTGCTC